TTTTTTATTAGACTAGCATCAATTTTTAAAAGTTATATGCTGTGTAATTTGATTGGTTAATTATCACGGGTAATCACGAGTATGATCTAATAAAATGATCACTTTACTAATTTTCGTGAATTAGCCAATCATATGTTAGCTCAAAGTCACATGATAGGGCATGCCTTTTGGTCAAAGGGCATGCTTCTAGGCATGCCCTCAAGCCTTGTGCCCCCAACCCTAGATACAAGCTTTTGTTTTGAGTATAAAGATTTAATCTAAGCTAAAAGATTAACTTCTAAAAGTAGATATTTAGGACAAGCACCAATGGTTAACCATTTAATAGCAGGCGAAGCACTTTTAAATTCATTTTTTTTTGATCCATTCATGCAACTGCTTTGGTATTATATCAAATTTTTGAGCAGTACTATGTTTACTGGCCATAGGGTTTTGTTCAAAGTATGTAATGATAGCTAATTTTTCCCGCATATTCCAGCTTCTTTTTTTTTATTAGTAACTTTTGCTTGCTTCTAAGTTTTTTTATAACACCCCATTTTACTTAAATAGAGAACATATTAATTTGTTTTACATTACTAACTCAAATAATACAAGAGATTCTTACTTTTGTGCTTTGATTAGAAAACTTGATCTATCCAGAATAAGAGAACAAATGATTTTTTATACATATGTATGTATATAGTGAACGATAAAATAATCGTACACATGCATTTTAGATTAATAAGTCAATTAATTGTAATGTTTGGCCTCATAATTATATCTTGAATAAATTATATGAATATTTTGCTATCTGTTCAATTTCTAATAATTCACCAAGTTCCTTCATCATGCTAGTTCTGTTATTTTATTTTATTATTTTTTTTTAATTCTTAGTTCATGTTTGTTTTCAATTTATTAATAGTTTATATGCTTTTTTTTTTTTTAGCTTATAATAGTTTGTGATTAATCTATTACTAAGAATTTTTGCTTTTAATGTTTGAGATTTTAAAGTTTGCCGTTAAATCAGATAGATAACTAAGCTCAAGTTCTCAGTTAATTCAAATTTATTACCTATTACATGTATGTAGTTAAATAATGCTCTCAGATTGACTAATAATTGTGCGTATTTTAATAATGTTAGATTTTAAGAAATGCCGATTTACAGATTATATATTTAAAAAAACTGATAATGTCACATGAGATTTAATAAATTGGTCAACAAATGATCAATATATATTGATATATTAATATTCAGATATATAATGTGCAATTTTTATTAAAAAATTGATTCCAATAACTAAATTTTCTATTAATTTTATTGCCCTTAGTAAAATCATCGCCTTGGATGAGAACCAATACTTGAAATTATGCTATTCTAATAACTACCTTAATTACATAGAATGTTGATCTCTTGTGACCAAAGCCTTCTTATTTTTAATTTTGTTCTTTTCTCCGAATTGTTCACAAAGCTGTTCATTTAATATTGCAAATGTGTATTCTACTTTAGCTGCAACTGAGCATTCCTATGATTTTGGGTATGCAATTAAGCATCAATATCTCAACTTTTTCTTTGGCATCTTGTTATTTAACCTTGAGCCTTTTCTCTGCTTGCCTTTCTCTTTATTCTAAATCTTTAACTCTGGATTCTGTTCTAAGTTTAATTTCAAATTTGTTGGTTTTTTTTTTACTATTAAACAGTGTGCAAAAAGGTTTTAACAGTTTAAAATTGTGTTTTATAGAATAACCAAAATGCCATATAACTATATAATGTTTATGCAGTATGCTATTTAATGGTTATGCAGTATACTATATAATAGCTATACAGCATGCTATATAATAGTTACACAGTATGCAAAACTAGAATTTACTAGAGAAAATATAAAGAATTTATATGTTGTATGCATTATATATACTAAACTTTTATGTAAAACCTTTCTTTACATAAATTCTCTACATATAAACACCATCCGATTATCAGACCTGTGCCTATACAAGAGACCCATGGGTCTATTATTTGGTTTTAGAATTGGTGAAATGTATTAGACCCGGGTAGTGTATAAAATCTATGTGCACAATGTGCTCAGTGCACTTTTTTTAAAAAAATTTACATGTTTTTGGGTAGAAATGTGCACGTAATTCACAAACTTTTAGACCAAATAGTGCACCATAATCATTAGTAAATACTGAAGGTGTGCACATAGAGCACATTGTGCACATATACATATTTAAATTTATATATATAAATTTAATAAATTTAAATTATATAACAAAATCATATAGTGCACAATTTTTAAACTTATTCACATAAATTATGTGTACATTGTGCACAAGATTCACATACTTTTGGGTTTAGATTTTATACACTGGACCCGGGTCTTGTATATGGCAGTTTACGGTAGTTACGTCCTATATAAAAAATCAGTTTATACGTAACTAGTGACGTAAATAAGTCACATATATACTAAGATCACAAAAGTAAATTTTCACTTTGTATAATATAAAATTAGTAATTGGGTTGGAAGTCGAATTTTGTCAATCAGGTATATCGGAGTAATTTATGAAAAAAATTAAATGGTAAAGATAGAATAGTTAGCGCAATTGAGGCTTAAATATAAAAATTGAGAAATTGAAAAAATGGGCTAGTGAGTAAATTCAAACTGAAAAAAAACTTTGTGTGGCTTAATAAATACTACAGAATTGTCTTTGTAACGCTTTTTGGATTTAAAGAGTCCAATATATTGCATGGTTTTAATGGCTGGATATTGTTTAAAAATCAATATATGAGAAGCATAGATATTTTAACTTTAGATTCCTTCCAGTTATTTGCAAAGAAATTCTTCGAACTCATAATTGTGTATGTCTTTATATCTGTCAACTGCCCGTAACAATTTGTAATTCATTTATCTGTATTTTGTACTCTTAAAAGTTAAAAGGGTCCTAATAAGTCTTTGTTGGTTAGTAGTTTATTATGTGGCATTGAAGTATTAAAGAAAGAGTTGAATCAAAACACAATCGCTTCCTTATTGTTATATACTTGTCATTCAAATTATCAATGCTTATTATTAATCAAAGAGTTCTATTTGAGCAATAATATGATTCCGTTAATATAACGCTATATCTGCCAGATAAACTATTTATCTGGAATGATGTATCAAGTCATTAATATTCATAGCAACACACATGGCCAAAGGCCACATGCTTCTGCTATTATCCTGCCAAATACCTATGTATCCATCACATCATGCCAGATAACAAGAAAGTACTAGTTAACAGCTATTTTCATAATTCCTGAAACATCTGATAGCAATTGACACCTAGTCAATTCGATTAGATTTGTGATTTCAGCATAATTGATTCAAGTTGATATGCAGTTAACTCTCTCTAAGGCCATTTGAAGTTGATTCTTCGGTTAACATCACTTTCTAGAACTCTTGGGGAGGAGGGGAAAATGAAACAAACATATAAAAATAAACAAATATGGACCAATTTCATTGGTCGATATAAATCAAGTGATCGGTGAGAGTTATCCAGCATTTTGATTGGCTGTTAATTTTTCAGGAGAGACTTCAACTGGGGTGATGTTAAGTGAAGAATTAACTTTAAACAGCCTAAGTGTAATGACTTTTAGCAATATGCATTTAGAGAACAAAATAAAAATTGCCAAGCATACATTAAAGCTATATTTGGAAGAAATTGCATTTAGAGAGGTTGCACTTAGGAGATATACAGTCAATTCTTTCTATTACATCTAAAGATTCTGAAAGAAAAAAAAGACTCATTATAGAAAATTATATGCCATCATACAAGCCCTTTGCACTTTCTGTAAGTTATAGAAAATTACTATGTCTTCTTACGAGCTCATTGCACTTTCTGTACCAAAATATTATAAAATTTCAAAATTTTGAGTTCATAGTGAGTGGGCCTTATTCCTTCAACACTTATAAGCGTTCAAGAAGATTCTACTATGCAATCCCCTTCACAAGTAGATAATATTAAATGCAATTACAAAAGGCGTATAACAAAATCATTATCAATGATTGTACTCTGTAGGAGTAGTTGCAATTCTACTAATCATAAATACAAAAATCTCATATAATGCTTTTAAATTTATTAATTTTCAATGTACTGCATTATGAATGAGCTCTATCTTAAAAAGACTTAAATTTCAAAACATGTACTCGATGAGTTATTCTTTAGGGCTTGTGCATATTTTAACTCCCTAGTACAGTGATCTCAGTTTCGTAAAACACAGAATTTCTATTGTGGTATTTTCCGTATTGATTATCTAATTTTTTTGGTCCTTTTACAGCGAAAAACTGCCTAAAAAAGAAGATTTAATGTATTGCAAAAATGAAAGCATTGTATAATGGCTTTCTTTCTTGTTTGTGCTCATGATAGATGCTCTTGCTTATGCTCTTTCTAACGCTCTTGCACATGCTCTTACTATTCAAAATCATAGTGGCTTTTCGACTTACTTTCTGATGAAAAATATACTTATTTCAGAAAAATTTACTGTTTTCTGTGAATGTATTATATCTATTTTCGATTTTTTTTTATTTTTCTCTTTTTTCCTTTCAGATTTTTTATCGATCTGATAGTTTGATAATCTATAACAAAGGAACCATGCTTTTAATATTGACTCACTTTTTTTGTTTTCCATTTATAGTTGATGAAAAAAACAGATAACAGATAACTTGATATTTTGTGTTTCAAGCGCTTTTCTTTAATTATATAATTCTTTTTGTATGCACCTATCGCAATGATCTGCATCTGCATTCCTAATTCGTAATTTATTATTTTATTATTTATCATTATCGTTATGTTAATTATTTATATAATAAATTGATATTTTATGATGCTAGTCTTACAAAATTTTTCCTTATTTGTATACTTCTTTTTAACATATATTTGTTACACTGATTCGTGCCTGTTTACTTAATTAGTAATGCCTTTGTGCTTTGACCAGATTCATTATATTCAATTTAATTAGTTAATGTAAATCTTTATTAATCTAAATATAAATATACTTCTCAAAATTAAACAATCCAACTGCATATTCCATTAAATTTGCTCATCTGCTTCTAACCTGAATAGAAATAATACTGATACTATCCTTCTTCATTTTTACATGATATTTAATGATGAACTACTGATTAAACTTATCTAGATTTAATCTCTTCAACAATGTTCAACTTAGTCCTTTGTTATACCTCTGATTATTTGTATATTTGTTTACTTACTTTGTGCCTTGATACTCAATCTATTTAATCTTCAATTGTGATAATATTTTCGAGCAATTGATTCGATGTGATTTGCTAGTGATCAAGATACTGATTTATCATTTCCATTGATTAAAAATTATGCAAATAATCAGATTTTTAAATTTAAACCAATCAAAGTGACTATGAAAAAAAATATATTTGTTACCTCGAGGCTTTCTTAAACAAGATAATTACATACTACATGATCACATTTATTTTATTTTTTGCTGA